AAAACAAAACAAACAAAAACTTCTTAAATGTGCTGTCTTGGTTGTCCATCTACAATACATAATGATAGTTAAAATCTCTCTCAAGCTTTTCCACCAGACCTCCAGGGTCATGTAGTCAAATAAAATCTATTTTGTACATCTTCCCAGCAGTCACAAAAACAAACTACTTTCTGAAACTGTCACCAACAACATGCTTTGGAGAGGAAGTCAGCATGATTTACAGTAATTTACACTGCACCTAAACATAGTAGCCTTCTTGATTACATTATAGCAACTACTGCATGACTTGATAAACCCACTTATGCAACACTGAGGGGTATTTTTCATGTTAGTTGCTTCAAATTAAATCATTTGTGGCATCCTCATATTATGTTAAAAAAAAATCAATATTTAATACTTACTGTGTTTTTCTGAGATACCATGTCCTGGAAAACAAAGATCAAGGAAAAGTTTAGGAACATTTGTCTGGATTATTATTTTCAATAAATATAATTTGCATAGCCCTATCAGTGTACATGTTGCTTTACAGACTGAGTAAGTAATATTTCCTGCCTCAGTAAAGGTACAAACTAAGGGTATGTCAACCCTACCCGCCAGATTGGCGGGCAGCGATCAATCCAGCAGGGATCGATTTATCGCGTCTAGTCTAGATGCGATAAATTGAGCCCCGAGCGCTCTCCCGTCAACCCCTGTACTCCACCACCGTGAGAGGCACAGACAGAGTCATCGGGGCAGCAGCAGTCAACTCAGCAGTAAGACGATCTAAGTACGTCGACTAAATTGCATAACTTAGATCGATTCTGTCCTCCCCCTCCCACCCCCCCAGTGTAGACTAGGCCTAAGATACACAAAAAATAGCATAACATTTCACATGAGGGAGGCTGCCATGAGGAGAACCAAGGAAGGCTTTCTAGAGGAAGTTGTTTTCAAGGAGGTACCAGAAGGAAAGAAAAAGCATGCTTGATGGATAAGTGGAAGGAGAATAAGAGATGGCTTGAGAGTGTAGAAAAAAGATGAAAGAAGGACTGGGAAAGGTTCTGAGTCTAAGTTGGGAGGGGAAGAAGAGGACAATGAGACAGAATTTGATTTGAGAAGAGACAAAAAGATAATGAAGAACCTCACGTTCGGTGCTCAATACAGTTAGAATGTTATGACAATAAGTAGAATTTAGCAATGGCTTTTTGCACAGTAGTGGAGTAGGAAGAAGTGAAAAGCAGAGCAGGTGAAGAGGAGGTTCTAGTAATCAAGACAGGAGAAGAGCAAAGCATAGAAGTACTGATGCCATCATACAAGGCATTGATAAGACATGATCTGGAGTATTGTATACAATTCTGGTCACCATAAGAAGCCATAGTGGGTCAGTCCAATGGTCCATCTAAGGCCAGGATCCTGTCTTCTGACAGTGGCCAATGCCAAATGCTTCAGAGGGAATGAGGATAACGGGCAATTATTAAGAGAACCATCCCCTGTCATCCAGTCTGAGCTTCAGGACCTCCAGAGCATGGGGTTGCATCCCTGATCATCTTGGCTAACAGCCATTGATGGACCTACCCTCCATGAACTTATCTGAGGGCAGGTCTACACTACAAACTTGCATCAGTGCAGTGGCATCGCTGCAGTGCTGCTGGTGAAGACACTCTAAGCCAATGGGAGAGAGCTTTCACGCTGGCTTAATAACTCCATCTCCACGAGAGGTGGTAGTTATGTTGGCTCTGTCTACATCAGGGATTAAAGTCTGTATAACTACATTGCTCAGTGATATGGATTTTCACACCTGTGAGTAACGTAGTTATACTCAAGTATGTAGTGTAGACCTGGCCTATGTCTTTTTGGAACCCAGTTATATTTTTGTCCTTCACACCATTCCCTAGCAATGAGACAGGTTGACTGTGTTGTGTGAAGCAATACTTCCTTTTCTCTGTTTCAAACCTGCTGCCTATTAATTTAATTAGGTGACCCCTGGTTTCTGTGTTATGTGAAGGAGTAAATAACACTTCCTTATTTACTTTCAGGGCCACCCGGGGGGAGGGGGGCAAGTGGGGCAATATGCCCCAGGCCTCGGGCCCCACAGGGGCCCCCACAAGAGTTTTTTGGGGGCCCCTGGAGCAGGGTCCTTCACTCGCTCTGGGGGCCCCAGAAAACTGTCATGGGGCCCGGGCCCCCGGAGCTTCTTCCGCTCCGAGTCTTCGGCGGCAATTCAGCGGTGGGGGGTCCTTCCGCCCCAGGACCTGCGGCCGAAGTGCCCTGAAGACCCGTGGCGGGGGGTCCTTCTGCCCCGGGACCGCTGCCGAAGCGCTGGGTCTTCGGCGGCAATTCAGCGGTGCGGAGTCCTTCCACCCTGGGACCTGCCGCCGAAGTGCCCTGAAGACCCATGGCGGGGGGTCCTTCTGCCCTGGGACCCGCCACTGAAGTGCCCTGAAGACCCGCAGCACGGGGGGTCCTTCTGCCCCAGGACCCGCTGCCGTAGCGCTGGGTCTTTGGCGGCAATTCAGCGGTGGGGGGTCCTTCCACCCCAGGACCTGCCGCCGAAGTGCCCTGAAGACCCATAGCGGGGGGTCCTTCTGCCCCGGGACCCGCCGCTGAAGTGCCCTGAAGACCCGCAGCAGGGGGTCCTTCTGCCCCGGGACCCGCTGCCGAAGCACTGGGTCTTTGGTGGCAATTCAGCGGTGGAGGGTCCTTCCACCCTGGGACCTGCCGCCAAAGTGCCCTGATGACCCGTGGCGGGGGGTCCTTCTGCCCCAGGACCCACCGCTGAAGTGCTGGGTCTTCGGCGGCAATTCGGTGGTGGGGGGCCCCCCGCCGCCGAAGACCCTAGGCCCCCTGAAACCTCTGGGCGGCCCTGTTTACATTCTCTTCACCAGTCATGATTTTATAGACCTCTAGCATATCCCCCCCTTAGTCATCTCTTTTCCAAGCTGAATAGTCCCGGTCTTTTTAATCACTCCTCATATGGAAGCAGTTCCATACCTCTAATCATTTTGGTTGCCCTTCTCTCTATCTTTTTCATTTCTAATATAACTTATTTGAGATGGGGTGACCAGAACTGCACGCAGTATTCAAGATGTGGGTGTACCATGGATTTATATAGTGACATTATGATATTTTCTGTCTTATTATCTATCCTTTTCCTAATGGTTCCTAACATTGTTAGCTTTTTTGACTGCCTCCGCACATAGAATGGATGATTTCAGAGAACTCCCCACAATGACTCCAAGATCTCTTTCTTGCGTGGTAATAGCTAATTTAGTCCCATCATTTTATTTGTATAGTTGGGATTAATTTTTCCAATGTGCATTACTTTGCATTCATCAACACTGAATTTCATCTGCCATTTTGTTGCCCTGTGACCCAGTTTTGTGAGATCCCTTTGTAACTCTTTTCAGTCTACTTTGGACTTAACTATCTTGAGTAGTTTTGTATCATTTGCAAATTTTGCCACCTCACTGTTTACCCCTTTTTCCAGATCATTTATGAATATGTTGAACAGCACTGGTCCCAGTACAGACCCCTGGGGGACACTGCTATTTACCTCTCTCCATTCTGAAAACTGACCATTTCTTCCTGCCTGTTGTTTCCTGTCTTTTAATCAGTAACAGATCCATGAGAGAACTTTCCCTTTTATCCCATGACTGCTTACTTTGCTTAAGAGCCTTTGGTGAGAGACCTTGTTAAAGGCTTTCTGAAAATCCCAGAACACTATATTCACTAGATCACCTTTGTCCACATGTTTGTTGATCCCCTCAAAGAATTCTAACAGATTGGTGAGACATAATTTCCCTTTACAAAAGCCATGCTGATTCTTCCTCAACAAAGTGTATTCATTTGTGTCTGGTAATTCTGTTCTTTATAGTAGTTTCAAGAAATTTTCCTGGTACTGAAGTTAGACTTACTAGCCTCTAATTTCCAGGATTGCCTCTGGAGTCTTTTTAAAAAATTGGAGTCACATTAGCTAGCCTCCAGTCATCTGTTACAGAAGCTGATTTACATACCACAATTCAAGAAAGATGAGTTTAAACTAGACCAGGTGCAGAGAAGAGCTAATAGGAAGATCAGGAGAATGGAGGGCCTATCTTATCAGAGGACACTGGAAGAGCTTGGTTTGTTTAGTCTCACAAAAAAAAAAAAGGTTGAGAGGGGATTATGAATGCTCTCTTAGATACAGAAGTATCTATGGGGGGTAAATATCAGGGAGAACAAAGAGCCATTAAAGCTAAAGGACAATATTGGAACAAGAATAGATATAAACTGGCCATGAATAAATTCAGGCTGGAAATTAGCAGAAGGTTTCTAACCATGAGACAGGTAAGGTTCTGGGACAGTCTCCCAATAGCTGTTGTCGGGGCAAACAACTTAATTAGTTTTCAGAGAGAGCTGGACAAATTCATGAGTGCAATTGTAAAATGAGGTTGTTTGTGATGGTGAAAGGCAGGGCTCAACAACCCTGGAGCTCAGTGTAGTTTGTGTCTTCTGTTTCTAATGCCCATGCTTCAGGGTTTCAGCCAGCCACTGGTAACGGTCAGGAAGGGATTTCCCTTCCCCACTCCAATGTATTCTGGGAGATTTTTTTAATCTCCTTCCTCTGAAGCATGAGGGATGGCAAAGGCTGGAGATAGGACACTGGGGAGGGAGGGCCATGGCTCTGATATGACACCGAGCATTCTCTTTCTCAGATGCTTGGCTGGCTGGTTCTTGCTGACATACTCAGGGCCTAACTGATTACCATATGTGGATTCAGAAGGAACTTCCCCCAATCAGATTTGCAGTGACATTGGATTTTTTTCTCATTGTTCTGCAGCACATGGATGCATGTCACTGGCCAGGATTATCTGCATCTCTCTCAAGTAATCATTTCCCTGCCATTGCCTCAGCCTTGAGCACTAGTGCAACTTGGGGCCCTCCAATTCTCTGCCTGTGGCAAATATTAGTCCAGTCTTCTTTTGGTCTCATTTCCATTGTTGGGTTTAGTGTGTGGGTGCTGGGCGGGGTTGGTGGCCCGTGACATACAGGTGGTCAGAGTAGATGGTCTAGTCGTCTCTTCTGGTCTTAAACTCTATGACTCTGTGACAAAGGATGTGAAGATAGGGATAAGAAGGTAGGGATAATCTGCTGCACAGAAGAGGATGTCTGCCTCTATTCTGCTGAAACGGACAGAAGTAGCCGTGAGTTATGATTTGTGTCCAGGGCAGTCTATCCATGGCCAGACAGACTGCTTAAAGTGTAATAACATTTATTGCTCTAATATAAAATTAAATGACAAGCTTATAAAAAGCTTTTGTGATGACACTTTTCCTATCTTCACCCCACAGCAACAGCAGATAAATTTTTAAGAGTGTGTGTGTGTGCATATAGTTTCACCCACTCAGCCTCTAGGAAATACAAAGCAAACCTATAGTAATGGAGATGAGTACGCTGACTAATAATAAAAGTATGTTCAAATATGGGCCTAAATCAAATGAAATGTATCATTATTAAACAAAAATCCTACAATCTTTTTACAGCATACTTACAACAGTCAAGAGAAAGAAACAAACCTTACTTGTGACTGAACTAATGAAAATCAGAACTACATACTTGTTTCCATGTCTAGCAGTTTGAAGTAAAACAATTACCATATTATGGGCCTATAAACATGCCTGCATGTCATTTTAGAAACACAAATACTCCCATTTTGTTAAGTGGTCAACGTGGCTATGCACAGGGATAAAGCTTCCAAGATGCACAAGTGTTTGCAGGATGAGGCTCTACATTTGCAACATCTGTATTAAAATGGATTTTGAAGTTAGGACCTTACCTTAAGTGACAGCGCAGTGTCAGCATCGGTATCATGGTAGAGTATAACATTATTGGCCATGTCAAAGCTTTCACGCACTCCAAGGTGGTAAAAGAGTGATGGCTGTCTGGAAACATCACTCATATCCACTACTGCAACATCTGTAATGAGGGGCAGAGGAAAAAATAGCTAAAAACAAAAACAAAACTCATTTCCAAGCTGATTCTTATTTTACAGAATTTAAAATAAAAAAATGGAATTAAATTTGGACAACAGACAAAATCCATACATTCAATACAGTGTTTGGTCTATTTAAAAATAAGTTTTCCCATCAGCCTGGGAAGAGACAGAGACACACACACTTAGTAAATAAAGTAGTAAATGGCTAAAATGTTATCATCATCAGTTACTACTATTGCCAGAAAGGAGAATGCTAAATCTGAGGGAAAGCAAGTCCCATTTGCCTACCCCTATGCCATTATAGCAAGAGATCTCAAGATCCCACTTTGGCAAACCACACCAGGGCAGCCAGCCAGCCATCAGGTCAGTAGCCAATTCAGACTAATGCACAAGTGACCCAAATCATGTACCAAGACACTGAGGCACCTCCTGAGACCAACCCCTTTCATCATTCCTTAGTTGTTCACTTCCTTCAAAAATTATGGGGGGCTGTAGGGAGAAGAATCCTCTGTCCCCACAAACTAAACCAGACGGGGTGCCAACCAGACTGGGTGCCTCCCAGCCATATCTTGGTGTACTTTCCAACCAATTCAACTGGTCCTCTCAAAGCTTCCACAGAGTTCACAGTTTGCTGAAGAATTCAATATCAGAATGGCACAGGCTATATGTCTGTACTGCAGCTGGGAGGCATAATTCCCAGCTCAGGTAGATGAACACGCACTAGCTGTGCTCGAGCTAGCAAGCTAAAAATAGCTGTGTGACTGCAGTGGCATGGGTGGCAGCTCAGGCTGGCCATCAGAGTATAATCCCATCTGAGATAGAATCATAGAATTCCAGGGTTGGAAGGGACCTCAGGAGGTCATGTAGTCCAACCCCCTGCTCAAAGCAGGGCCAATCCCCAGACAGATTTTTGCTCAAGATCCCTAAATGGCCCCCTCAAGGATTGAATTCACAACCTTTTTTAGCAGGCCAATGCTCAAACCACTGAGCTAGTCTTCCCCCATAAAGTCTTAGGTATGTACTCCAGATGGCTCGCCTGAACTGCTGTCCATCCCACCGCAGCCATGCTGCTATTTTTAGCACACAGCTCAAACACACCTAGCATGTGTACATCTACCCGAGCTGGGAATTACACCTTACAGCTGCAGTACAGACTTACCTATAGAAACCAAAAGGGCTTGATGTAGAGTACACAGTGCTTTGAATACACATCAAAATCAACAATTGTTTTCCTTACAATAATTCAACACCACATTTAAGAAATGTAAGTGGTATATAACCAAGGGAAATTTAGAGAATTTGATTATGGATCCGCATACTAACATTAAAAAAAAACAAGTCTAAAAACTCAAGACATGTGGGTTTTCTACCTGTGTAAATTGTTTTAGTGGAAACATAATGCTGTGAAATCAAAATGACCTTCCTGATGAGAGAATTTAGACAATGTGTGCAGGTAGGACATAGATACTGCATTTGGCGATATGCATGGTTGATGAACCATAATATAATTTATTGAAACAAAGTTGTATTTTTCAAATTCACAATGCCTCACCAAGCAAATAATATAGTCTACAACTGAAATTTATTTTCTTTGCCTGCATGTTAGGTGGTGATGTCTGAAGCAGCAAGAACATAATTTAATCCATTAAACTGATATTTGATAATAAAAGCAGAGGCAAACACCTGCCTTTCAGGCAGACATTATTCATCACTGTATGTTCATTATTAGTATTTTCAATAGGCAGAGAAGGTTTTTTTGTTCAGTTTGAAAAGAAATTTTCACAATATTTTTAAACATCATTTCAAAGAGCTTCCTTTCTCCCAGCTCCAAAAACAGGGTTGCTTTTCCTAAGAGATTTCTTAGGAACACATAATTATATATGTTAAATGTAATCAATTAAACCATGTTAAAATAATCACTAGGGCCCTACCAAATTCACAGTAATGAAAAACACATCACGGACTGCGAAATCTGGTCTTTTGTGTGCTTTTAGCCTATACTATATAGATTTCACTGGGGAGACCAGCGTTTCTCAAATTGGGGGTCCTGACCCAAAAGCAAGTCACAGGGAGGTCACAAGGGGGGAGGGATAGCTCAGTGGTTTGAGCATTGGCCTACTAAACCCAGGGTTGTGAGTTCAATCCTTGAGGGGGCCACTTAGGGATCCGGGGCAAAATCAGTACTTGATCCTGCTAGTGAAGGCAGGGGGCTGGACTCAATGGCTTTCAGGGTCCCTTCCAGTTCTAGGAGATAGGTATATCTCCATATTTAAGTGCACCCAATTAACTTTTTTTTTTAAGTGCACGCTATTGCTGCCCTTACTTCTGTGCTGACTTCAGAGTTGGGCGGCATATCATACCATGCTACCCTTACTTCTGCACTGCTGCTAACAGCGGCTCTGCCTTCACTCTCCAGCTGCTCAGCTCTGAAGGCAGCGCTGCCACCAGCAGCAGCACAGAAGTAAGAGTAGCAGTACCGCAACCCCCCTACAATAATCTTGCGACCCTCCCCAACTCCTTTTTGGGTCAGTATCCTTACAATTACAACACCATGAAATTTCATATTTAAATAGCTGAAATCATGAAATTTACCATTTTAAAAATCCTATGACCATGAAATTGACCCAACTGGACGGTAAATTTGGTAGGGCCCTAATAATAACACAAATTAGCTTAACAAAAGAGTAAGGAGATTCAGAGCTGGGTTCTACTATGCACAAGTTTTCCTGGTTCTCTCCAATTGGGTGCTTTAAACATAGAGCACCAATACCACAGAACACCACAGTAAGTTAAAGTTAATGGGCCTGATTCTCACCTCACTTAAACTGGTGAAAATCAGGAGTTATTTCACTGATAGCAATGGATTCAATCAGCACAGCTTAGGCATGGGATCCTTAACTGTCCAGTTGGGCAGGTTTAAGGTCCTTTTCTGCCAGTCTAGTAGTACAACAGGACATTAGGTTCTGATCAAAAGAAGTTGAATTGGTGTAGAACTGGTGCAAGATCAGAATCATATGCAAATATTTTCTGCATTATTTCTGCATTTCCGGGTTGTCATTTCATTTGAAATTCTTCTTCATCCTGCCAACTGAAAACACTACCCCATCTTTTTCATTTGGTTTTAAAGGTGCATACTAGAGTAGAAGTGTAGCTGAGCATCCTGATGGTAGTTGGATAATACTTGGAGCCTGGTATGGCACTGAGCATGAATCTCGCATTACTTCAATTACTTTGCTCTTTTAGTGTTGGCACTGGTATGAAAAAATACACTTGGGAACCTTAACTCTAAGTTAATGACTTTTTTGTGTAGGAGAAGAGAGAATAAAGGAGAATTATCAAGGAGAACAGAATTAACAGGACAGTGACAGCAGCATCACAAGAAAAGGCAGAAAGGAGAACAGGATTTTTTTCCCTCTCTCCTTTTTAAAATAATTGTTTTTAGTGTTGGTACCTTGACTTCAGGTGATCTCATGGCAGCCATTACAGAGAAATACAAAGAGCCCCTGGAACTGAGTGGGTAGGATATAGAAGAAGAGTGGGAGCCAAGGAGGAAACTGAAAGCAGAGTTACTAATGGTGAAACACAAAGAAACTGCAGGACTGGCTTCTTGACATGGGTAGGATCCAGACTAGAACAGCTAGGAGACATCCCATTCCCTGGAGCACTCTAAGCATCCTCTCCAAGTGTACACTGAGGGAATGGGAATGGGACTGGGAACTAGCTGTGCTAATTCAGGACAGAAGTGTGGCTTTTGAGTCCAGTGGGCCACAGAACCAGTAGTAAAAGGTTGGGGGCAAAACATGTCAGCAACAAATACTCAACATGATGTGGTTAAATCTCAGTTCTCTTCCTTTGTTGAGGAAGGAGGGAAGCCCAGATGCTCTTCCCAAGTGACTGGTGGTGCTGCTGCTGCTACCAATGAGTGCCCATGGTCATCTATACTGGCTTTTAATGTATTTTGTTATCCCATTACTGACAAGAGCACAGTCATCTTTTTGCTGCATGTAGCTTTGTGGGTGGCTCACTAAACTCTGCTAAACCCCAGCACCTCCAAAAGTACACTCACCCCAACTGCCATATGCCACCTGTGACAGACCCAGACCAGTGGGGTACAGGAGTCTGGTAGAGAGCAAATATACTGGTCACTGGATGAGTAGTTTTCTGTTCCCTGAGTGACCAGGGAAGGGGCTGCACTAGAGTAATCAGGAACCTCCTAGAACCAGTTAAGGCAGGCAGGCTAATTAGGACAGCTGGAGCCAATTAAGAAGAAGCTGCTAGAATCAATTAAGGCAGGCTAATCAGGGCACCTGGGTTTTAAAAGGAGCTCACTTCAGTTTATGGTGTGAGTGTGAGGAGCTGAGAGTGAGAGCTACTGGAGGACTGAGGAGCACAAGCGTTATCAGACACCAGGAGGAAGGTCCTGTGATGAGAAAAAGGAAGGTGTTTGGAGGAGGCCATGGGGAAGTAGCCCAGGGAGTTGTAGCTGTCATACAGCTGTTACAGGAGGCACTATAGACAGCTGCAGTCCACAGGGCCCTGGGCTAGAACCTGGAGTAGAGGGCGGGCCCGGATTCCCCCCAAACCTCCCATTTGACCTGGACTGTGGGTTCTTCCAGAGGGGAAGGTCTCTGGGCTGTTCCCCAACCCAGAATTTCTGAGGCAAGAAAATCCGCCAATAAGCACAGGACCCACCAAGATAGAGGAGGAACTTTGTCACACTGGTGTCAGGAGTGGGATCTTGGGGTACAGCGCGGCGGAAGAAGGAGGGTGATTTAAAAAAAAAAAAGAGGGTTTATTTTTTTCACCACAATGGATGATGTAGTGCGGGCACTGATACAAGCTACGGCGTGGCGCACTGATACAAGCTACGGCGGCCCAGCAGGAGGCTACCCATGTCCAGGCAGCCACCCCAAGGAGGCAGTGCGGCTGCAGCAAGAGACTAATCGCCTGCTGATGGATCAGGCTGCTCAAGACCGAGCTA